CCCGATTGGTATCGATCTCCGCTGGTAGCGAGTGCTTCCGAGAGGAGAGTAAGGTGGTCCCAAACCCTGCTGTTCTATGCAATTGAATCACGCTGGAGAGCTTCCGTTGTCCTATTTCCCTCAAAACAGTGGTGACCGCCATCGATCGATAACGATCTACCATTTGGCGCGCGCCCCTACCGAAACGCCGATTCTGTCATTTTCCCGCCAAAAACTATAAAGGCATCCTCACTGAAGTTGGATGACGTAGCCAGAGCCTTTTTGTGAACGGTAACATTGGCTCGGGTAGCCCAGGGGAAGATGTCTTGCTAGCCACCCCACCCATTGCATGGAAACATCCGAGCAGCCTCAACGCCTGGGCTAGATTGTCAAGAAAAAAAAACGAGTGAAGATCTCGACGCTTGCATCTGCTCTGCATTGTTGTGGAAAGGAAGGATCAAGGGCTGAGCTTTCCACCATTCGCCCCTTCCTGACCATCCAAGTCAGGCGAAACCCGTCCAAGTAGCTGCGCGCCTTGAACCAAACCGTGACGCTGGCCAAGCTCCAGGGCCATCCTTGCATCGGGAGCCAAAACAGGCTGTTATGTTGTTCCCAATGAGAGTAAATTCCGTGACCACTTCGCTACCAGTTCACACAGGGGAAACGGAGTCCTTCGCTGGCTCACTCATGTTCAATAAAACTTTGGGTGAAGAACGAGATCTTCCTTGTTCTACCGCATATATACTCCTTATCCCTGAGATGGGGTAGGCGTGGCATTCGAGCATGGCATAGAACGGTTACTCGTGGGATGTTTCAATTTGAGACAACTGTCATCTTGTTCAGTGTTGGACAAAGACATGACCACAATTTTCTCGAAATGGAATTGTCTCGCCAGAAGCACAGTTAGCGCCACGTTCAATTGAAGTGTGCAGCCACGCCTACCCCACCTCAGGGATTTCAATTATACTTGACTTGCTAATTGCTTGACTTGGAATGTGCCATGTCTATATCATCTGTCAAGTCTTTAACAGAATGTTTGCTTGCTCTTTAGAACATGGCACATCGTTGTTGGGGAATCCCTCAACAGGGGGGTCGTATTTGGCCGCCAGGAGACGGGGGTCGTATTTGGGCCGAGAAAAATTTATTTTGATAGTTGATTCGCTTCACGGAGGTTGATGTAGGGCGGGGGGGGGGTGTACGGACTAACTAAATCCCCAACAGTGATGTGCCCTGCTTTAGAGAAGTGATTGGGCGATGATAGTGTAGGTTATACTGTTTTTTTGAAAGCAACAGTGATCCTACTATATATAATTCACTAAGTATGTCTGTCAGTGTGTGTGTGTGTGTGTGTGTGTGTGTGTGTGTGCGTCTGTCTGTGTGTCACGAAATTCATAGCGCCGGTCCAGTAGCAGTGAGACATTGATTTCAAGAAGTGATGTAGGCGATGTGACGGGAACACTATTGGTGGGTGACAGGAAGTGATATCAGTTGATAAGATCCGATAAGGGGTCTCGGAAGGGGAGGATCACCAAATTCGTAACGCAGGTTACGGCAACAGTGGGACCTTGGATCCGAGAGGTGATATAGGGTGTGGGACGGGAACATTATTGGCGGGTGACAGAAAGTGATAACAGTTGATAAGATCCGATAAGGGTCTCGGAAGGGGAGGATCACCAAATTCGTAACGCAGGTTACGGCAACAGTGGGACCTTGGATCCGAGAGGTGATATAGGGTGGGACGGGAACATTATTGGCGGGTGACAGAAAGTGATAACAGTTGATAAGATCCGATAAGGGGTCTCGGAAGGGGAGGATCACCAAATTCGTAACGCAGGTTCCGGCAACAGTGGGACCTTGGATCCGAGAGGTGATATAGGGTGTGGGACGGGAACATTATTGGCGGGTGACAGAAAGTGATAACAGTTGATAAGATCCGATAAGGGGTCTCGGAAGGGGAGGATCACCAAATTCGTAACGCAGGTTACAGCAACAGTGGGACCTTGGATCCGAGAGGTGATATAGGTGTGGGAGTGGGACGGGAACATTATTGGCGGGTGACAGAAAGTGATAACAGTTGATAAGATCCGATAAGGGGTCTCGGAAGGGGATGATCACCAAATTCGTAACGCAGGTTACAGCAACGGTGGGAGCGTGATTTCGAGAAGTGATTTAGGATGATATGATAGTGATATGGGACGGGAATATTATTGGCGGGTGACGGATGTTATAGGAGCTGAAAGTGACAAGTTAACATGGGAAAATCCGCTTCACCGCTCACAACAGCAATGCGATCGATATGACTCAAGTATAACGATCTCAATGATTCCAACAGAACTCATTCCTCACTGCTCATCAGTAGCGACATCATGTACGACCGCTAAGCTAGCTCTATTCCAAATGCATGGGGTTTGTTTACAGAGATGTTATGAACAGCAGCAACTTGACTTAATCACTCTTACCACAACTATCTTCCATCAACAACCTCAGTGAGGGCCATTCAAAGCGTTCCACTGCTGAATGCGGGAGTGCATTGAAGCAAGACGCGTTAAGAGAAGGGGGGAGGGGGGGGGGGTGGAGGAGGGGGGACCTGCATGAATCAGTACGATGCTTCAGCGGATAACTCCGTAACTTAGCACGCAGCAAATCCGCGCCCACCCGGCGAAGCCGGGCTATGTCACAGAAGGAGCAGCGCCCGGCGACAGCTGGGCCAGACTGGACAGGACAGGGGGATAGGCACATCATTGGAAAGCGACAGAAAGTGATAACAGTTGATAAGATCCAATAAGGGGCGCCGGAAGGAGAGGGTCATCAAATTTATAACGCAGGTTACAGCAACAGCGGGACCTTGGATCCGAGAGGTGATATAGGTTATGGGACGTCATTGGTGGGTGACAGTTTCGGTCAACATGGAAAAATCCGTGCACCGCTCATTTAATGCGATCGATATGCCCCAGGAAGTCACGATCTCAGAGATTCGAATACAGCTCATTCCTAAACGCTTATCAGTAGACACAATGTACGACCGCTAGGCCAGCTCTACTCCAAATGCATGTCTTTTATTTTTTACCGAGATACCATGTGAACAGCATAAATGACGTAATCACTTTTACCATACCTTACCGATAACTTTAGTGAAGACCATTCAAAGCTTATCAGTGCTAATGCGGGGGTGCTTCCACAGCAGGACACTTCAATCAAAAGAGAATGCGTAAAGCAGTAGGACGTTTCAGAGGCTAATCTAATGGTCTGCCCTATTCCCGGGTATGATGTGAAGAAATTTTCGATACCAACCCAGAGTCAGGGTTGGACAAATGGAAATGTTCTGATAAGAATACGGGCGTGGAAGAACAGGCGTAACGACAAAACCATATTGCTTCGGCTATCGTTTGCTCACATGTATCCTACTGATGTATGTGATGCAAAATGAAAAAAAAGAACCAGGTGATGCGAAGTGAAATGAAGTGAAGTGACAATTGCCCAAGACGAAAGGGAATAGGTTTTACTGAAATTGCCACCTCATTCGACGCCTGTAGTTTTAACCCTCAATCGAGTCGGTATCATGAAGGCATAGGTAATAGGATGTGATAATAGTACAAGACAAGCAAACTGTAAGTAAGCGAGAAGATACCACTGTATGACCATGCCTGCGTATCTGATCCCCATCCGATTGTTCAATGAGCACCCTTCATTTGTTTCCGATGTTATCAGCACCTGAACTTCATTCGGCTGCTAAACGGACTGATGTTGCGGCAAATGATTCCTTTATCTTGATAGAGCTATCCGATCATTCGCCCATACCAGTTAAAATCATTTTGACCGCGCTAACTTTTGGTGCGGCTCATAGGCCGACTTCTTGATTTATTTTTGTTTTTCACCGTCACGAGAAGTACTGCTTGCTAAAAACAGAAAAAATAGCGAAGGGGAGCACCGTTGGCGCCAGACATTTTGCCTTTCAGACTACTTGCTTATTAACAACGGCACAGAAAGCATGCATGAAGCTAATCTACAGTGTTTGACAACATGATGTAGCAAATTATGTTGTTGTAGCAAATTGTGATGTTGTAGCAAATTAGAAGAAACTATAATGATTACTATTAATTAATGTTAAGCAAGTAAGCAATTATGTTTAATTTCGCAAGTACTTTTCATTGAGCATGTGGGTTTCATCAGATTGCTGGATATAACTTGCCTTAAGTAGTTGTAACGTATACACGCTATGTATATCCTAAAAGCACTCAGTAGGTAGCACTGTAATTGGTTTTTCAATGCGACGTTTTTTATGTTCAATGCAACGCATTGCATTCTTGATGCATCGCACGTTTTCACCATCGGTACGCATAAAGGCTGTTGAATTAGGCGAGGCGCTATATCACGCACACTATAGTGATAGCCTAGCACCGTTACTGTGGTCATACAACCGCAGTATTGGTGATTCTCATTCATCATAAAGCTTATTCAAGAATTCTACCAGAATTCGAATTTAGGTGAGCGTTTATAATTTTCAAACAGCGTGTACAGCATCATGTTTCCACTGAAGTGCTTGAAATTCTCATATATAAGAACACTGTGAAGAAGAATGGTTCCCGTCACTCTAGAGGCTGTTTTTGGTTGCGTGAACGTGTTATCCGCTTATTTTCGTCTGTGACCATATCCTCTATTTGTTAGGAAACTACCTCATGGTAATGATCATTCACTAAATTTTTTATGGATGATCTTCAGAAGGACCTTCTTATCAGATTCGACTTTCCCTACTGAGCTTTCAATTGTTCTTTCCTATGTCCCCTTGAAGCCGTGATCCTGTTAGTCTTTCTTCGTCATTCCACTGTAGTGTCTTCTACATGAAAGGCTTTTTTGACCTATGCTCCCAACAATGTTGAAGGGCATCCAGTATTTTTTTTGTTCTGCACAGACGCGTGCCCTATCAAAAAAAAGAAACACTTGCGGTAAACTATATGCAAGTTGGAATTTAATTGGACGCTCTCCGTCGCTGCATTAGTATATTTTCTTATTTCACTGGATTCATGATAACTGCAAAGCAACTCGAGAGACCCAGAGGAATGTTCATTGCAGCTTCAAAAACGGTCAATTCAACATCAGTCGAAATACAACGACTAGAGATGGAACAAAGAAGACAGAGAGGAAGACCAAGAGTTCATGATAGTGACAGCGCACGCCAGCGCAGCCGAAGAATGCGTGAATCCGAGGAAGAAAGGTCTGCTCGCCTAGAAGCCAATTCTTTTCGCCAGCGGCAAAGGCGTGAGAATGAAAGTACCCAAGAAAGAAGTGTAAGGCTGGGTGCAGATGCTGGAAGACACCAGTTAACGCGTATAAGTGGAACTGCGGAAGAAAGGACTGCACGACTCGCTGAAGATGCTCGACGCCAGCGCGCGAGGCGAGCATCGCAAACGGCTGAAGAGCGGTCATTCAGCCGACAGCATCACTCTCAGCGACAGCGTCAAAGACGGGCGTTAGAAAATGGTGAGGAGAGCTCCACACGCCGACAGGAAAATGCTGAACGTCAGCGACGAAGGCGAGAATATGAAAGCCTTGAAGAGCGAACCGCTAGGCAGACGGAAAATCTCCAGAGGCAGCGTCGTAGACGCGAGCAAGAGAATGCCGAGGAACGCTCTTCTAGGCTTGCAGGAAACGCTGAACGTCAGCGTCGTACACGGGAGCAAGAAAATTTCGAGGAGCGCTCTTCTCGGCTCGCAGAAAACGCTGAACGTCAGCGTATTAGACGCGAACGAGAGAGCTCTCAAGAACAAGCTACTCGGCTAGCAGATAGCGCTGACCGTCAGCGTCGTCGGCGCGAGCAAGAAAGCTCAGAAGAGCAGGCCGCCAGGCTTGCAGATAATGCTAGACGACAACGTCGTCGGCGCGCGGTAGAGAGTCCAGAGGCTATTTCTGCACGACGTGCAGAAAACGCTGACCGTCAACGTCTCAGTCGTGAATTAGAGAGCAGAGAAACACAGCTTGCCCGGCTCGCAGAAAACGCTGAACGTCAACGTCGCAGGCGCCAGTTAGAAAGTGCTGACGAGCGAGTCGCTCGACTATCGCAAGAAGCGCACCTTCAGCGTAGGAGACGCGGGTTACAAAGTGCTGAAGAAAGAATTGCTCGGCTACAAGCTGACACCCGACGTCACCAGCAACATCGCAGCACTGAAGGCAATCTGGAGCGTTCTTCGCGACTGGACTCTAATGCTGCACGAAATCGTCAACGACGAGCAGAGGCAGTTGAGTGTGGAGTGGCCCTGCGTACACGGACGGCGGAGGTTCACTATCTAGGAGGTCTGAACAGAAGATGTATTCACTGTGGAGCTAGACATTTCCTGTGTGAAGTTAAGTTGAATCATCCTGACACCTTCCTAGAATGTTGCGATCTGGGCAGGATCCGTTTGAACATGTTTTCGAATTTTCCGGAACGCCTCCGTGAGCTGTATGTACAAACGGATGAGCTGACCGCAGAGCAACGCCGTATACAAAAAAACTTTCTGGAAGAACATAAGAAACTTCAATTCAGCGTTAGCCATGGCATCTATGGGAGCACAGGTAGATCCGCTTCGAGGACGAGGTCCATACTGCTACAGAATACATGGACAAATATATCACCGCATGGGTCCCCTTCATCCCAGCGATGGTGAGCAGCGTCAGTATGGGCAAATCTACATACTAGATACGGAAATGGCCGCTGAGCAACGCCTTGGTAATACGAGGAATATTGACTGTGATCCAGGGCTCATGCACTTCCTTAGCGAATTGCTATCAAATGTTAATGTATACGCACAATCATTCAAAATGATGAGTGAGGTTGAGCAGGCGGAAATCGCAGCAGCAGCTCGGGAAAATCGTGCACCTCTGAAAATCCGTATGGTTTTTGAAGAAGAGTAATGAAAGAGGATTGAGGCGTCGTCAGTACGACTCACCGACGGCTAACGAAGTTGCTGTCGTATATGTTGGAGAAGATGACGACGTACCTGCTACGAGGAGCTTTGCTGTACATCTTCGAAATGCCCCAGGAGAGCAGCTCCTTACCATACGTGACATTGACAAAATATGTGATCCCCTGACATATCCCTTATTGTTCCCAACAGGAGAAGGTGGGTGGGAACCGAGCATGAGTAACATCAATGGAGGGCGCATTACGCAAAAAGAATATTATTCGTATTTGCTCTCAGTGCGCGACACCTTCAATCCTATTCTGTATGCTGGGAAGTTATTCCAACAATTTGCAGTCGACGCTTACGTTAAAATCGAGCAGAACCGCCTTAACTTCCAAAGGCGAAATCAGCTTACATTGCGCGCCGATTCATATAGAGGTCTGCAAGATTATCTTGCCGGCGAAGATAATTCCGGTCCACCTGGCAGTCGTGTGATTCTATCGTCATCACATATTGGTAGTCCCCGCGCAATGCAGCAGTCGTACCAAGATGCAATGGCTATTGTTGCACGTTATGGGAAGCCCACCTATTTTTTGACCATGACGTGTAATCCTCAATGGAGAGAAATCCAAGAGAACCTTTTCAGTGGTCAGAAGGCAGCTGATCGCCCTGACTTAGTAGCACGAGTCTTTAATGCTAAGCTGCAGGAGCTCTGTGCTGATTTATTTAAGAGACATGTGCTTGGAGAGGTGCTAGCTTACGTCTACGTCGTCGAGTTTCAGAAGCGAGGTCTCCCACATTGCCATATGCTCCTTATAATGAAGGACGAATGGAGAGTGCGAACAGCTGATGATGTAGATAGATCGATATGTGCGGAAATTCCAAATCCTGTAGAAGAACCAGAACTTCACGCTGCTGTAACTTCTTATATGATTCATAGGCAGTGTGGTCAGACGGACTCTCCTTGCATGCGGAACGGCTCCTGTTCTAAACGATTTCCTAAGCAATTACGGGAAAGAACTTCCGTTGATGTAGATGGCTACCCCAACTATCGACGTCGGAACCTATCACCTGCCGAAATCAACGGTGTTCTTTACGGTGACGAATGGGTCGTGCCATCAAATCCATACCTTCTGATGAAGTTTGACTGCCATGTGAATCTGGAGATTTGTGGAATGATTTCGGCTGTGAAATATCTCTACAAGTACATCTATAAAGGACCAGATCGGCTCGCATCAACATTGAAAGTGATGGGAATGCAGATGATAACGCGAACTTTGATGAAATCAAGCAGCATCTGAACACTCGCTACGTATGTGCGCCTCAAAGTATGTACAGAATCTTCGGCTTTACGATGCAAGAAAAGTCGCACACGGTTTACAGATTAGCTGTACATCTTCCTGACTTCCAAGACGGTGCATTTTGTGCAAGGCCAAGAACAGCGTTATCTTGATCGTGCTCATCGGTCTTTTACAACCCTTACGGCATACTTCGAGCTCAACAGGCAATATGCTCAGGCTGATGGAAGTGTACGCTCCGATTTGCGATTGACGCTCGAGAGCTTTACTACTATCAGCTGCCTGAGTATTTCACTTTTGAGCCACGCCGTGGTTGGTCCACCTAGAAACGCTCTGGAAAACAGATTGGCAGGAATGTTCACTGTTTCGCCTCGAGACTACGAACGATATTGCCTCAGAATACTTCTGTTGAATACAAAAGGGAAGACCTCCTTCGAAGATCTGCGAACGGTGGACGGTGTCATCTACGATACTTTTGCAGAGGCAGCAAAGCGTGCAGGCTTCCTGGATGACGACAGATATTTTCGTCAAAGTTTAGAGGAAGCCGCCCAGTATCAGTCGGCAGCATGCACTCGAAGCTTTTTCGCCTGTCTGCTCTGCTTCTGCGAAATTGTCCAAGCACAGGAATTGTGGAACGAATTCGCCTATGTTATGTCGGAAGATTTCATCCACCAAGGCGTCGATCATGAACTTGCAGTAGCATATGCGTACTTTGATGTTCTTGACCGAATGGCGCTCATAGGTACTGATCTCAGGGAAATAATTCCACCACCCATGGCTGAACGTCCTACGGCTTTCCCTGTTGCTGTGGATCATGACGAACATGAAAGGAACGGCCTTCTTCGTTATGAAACTCTCAATGAAAGGCAGAAGGCCGCTGCAGACGACATCATTGCCGCACTGGATAGATCTCGGAATCGGTGCATTTTCATTGATGGTCCCGGAGGGAGTGGCAAAACTTACCTATATACCACCGTGTACGATATCGCAATCGGACGAAGGCGCCAAGTCGCATGCGTAGCATGGACAGGAATAGCTGCAAATCTACTGCCCGGAGGACGAACTGTGAGCTCTCTTTTCAAATTGAAGATTGGAGACGGGAACCGAAGCTCTTCTCTGAAGCGTCAGCAAGAGGGAAGCTAGAGAACTGATGGCTGTAGATATGATCATTTGGGACGAGATCTCCTATGGCGCCGAAGGCTGCACTAGAAGCAGTGGACGTTCTTTTGAAGGACATTATGCAGAATGAAGAGCCATTCGGAGGGAAGGTTATGGTTATCGGTGGAGATTTCCGTCAAGTTCTGCCAGTAGTCGAACACGGACAAAGGGAAGATTTTGTTGAAGCCTGTGTCCACAGGTCTTTTCTATGGCCATTGTTTTCTATCCACCGTCTAGCCGTTAACATGAGAGCAAGAGAAGCTGGAAGTGACTGGCACGAACGTCTCCTACAAATAGGTAACGGTGACTGCAACGACTCCGATAGCTGCATAGAAGTGCCCGAGGAAATGATGTGCCATGGAGATATAGTGTCGGAGATATTCGGAGACACTCTCGACCCTACCCGCACGTCCGAGTTGTGCGAGTGTGCTATACTAGCGCCTAAAAATGTTCATGTACAGCGGCTGAATGAGATCACGCTCGACCGCCTATCGGTGGAACGTCCGCAAGACGAGCACATTTACAAGAGTGTCGACGAAGCAATTTACACAGAAGGACAGGGCGAGCAACTTTTCCAACAAGAATATCTGAATTCGCTTACTCCACCGGTATGCCGCCACATGAGTTACGTCTGAAGAAAGGAGCGATAGTAATGCTACTCAGAAACCTCGATGTAGCAAATGGACTCTGTAACGGAACGAGGCTGAAAGTAGAAACGTTAGGACGTTACACTCTTGGCTGCAAATTTATCTGTGGAGATAGAAGAGGACAGCTCGCGGTGATACCCCGAATAGACAACTACTGGGACAAAAGAGTTCCTTTTCGACTTCGTCGAAGGCAGTTCCCTGTGCGAGTATCGTTTGCAATGACTATTAATAAAGCACAGGGACAATCCTTCAATAAAGTTGGTGTCTACCTCCCTGAGGACGTTTTCTCCCACGGACAACTATATGTAGCACTATCCCGTGCCAGAACTCCCAGCGGGATCAAAATCAATTCGCCCACAAATCTGATAAAAAACGTCGTATTTAATGAAGTGCTCCTTTAAACAAATTCTACACGTTTGATGAAAGAAACCTGCGTTCAGCGAAGACAATATTGGCTTCCGATCCTTACTAAAAAGAATTTTAACGTATGAAGAGAAGAGAGCAAGCAACACGTTGGAATGGATATGCCAAGGAAGGTGATTGAAAGAGCCCACATTCAGCAAGTAGAAATTACCAAAAAGGACTAGGTGAGCCCGCACACAGCTCAAATACTACAAAACGAAAAGTTCAGACTTTTTCCAGAGTGGAAAATACAGTCACTTGGAATTGTATTCTCAAATACTGAACAAGAGAAAATTTTCGTAGCAGGATAAACCAATGTTCTTACAAAGTAGGTACACTGCATTCAATATAGAGATTATGTGAAGTGAAAGTGGCGCACCCTTTCAATTCCTGCAACAACATCTTTACCACCCTATCTCATAGGGTCACCCAACAGACCCGGGAAGGAAGCAAAGTTATCTACAAGCCGCATACCATGGCACGTACTGGGAGTCAGGAGCTAAAAATGGCAGCAGACCTCGGAATGAAGCGGAATACATTTGAAATGAAAAGTGCAAATTTTTGGCCAGTTAAGATATGCTCGGGAGAAGGATGGCCGATCCACTGTTATTTCTATTGCGGAAGCGGTATGAATTCTTCCCGTCCAATTCAAAAATTCCCACGCATTTAGGAACACCCTTCTTTTAGAACAAAATTTGCTTCGAGTTCCAGATGGAACCTCTTCACAATGTGGTGTGCCTCTATACCAACGGAGAAAGTCTCCCTATACGTCCAGAGTAGTGTAGATTTTTCTCCACACAGCAAGATACTGCTTATCAAGTTGCTGTGAGTGCCCAAATCGGAGGCGCACCGCGCTATAGGTCAGTACCATAACATATCCGAGACCGTTTTTGCAACAACATCTCGATTTCAACTACAACCGTTCAGTCAGGAGCTAAAAATGGCAGCAGACCTCGGAATGAAGCGGGAATACATTTG